AGCCGCACGCCGGCGAGCTCCCGCCACCAAGCGTGGGCTTCTTCTAGGCCCAAACGCTCCTCCCTCATCACCACCAACACAGAACACACGCCCGAGCACTGTCCCCGCTCCGCGAGGCCAGCGACCAGGTCACCTGCGCCAAGAGGGCGAGGGCGTGCTGGGCGTTAACGAGCTCTGCTCTCGGCCCGGTACCCGGAGGCACGCTGATAGGCACCAGGCGCTATCGTGTTTACGAGCCTCTCCTCTGAGGGCTCCGCAGGTCATTCACATTTTGAGCCTCAGCATTTTCCCATCTCAGCAGCTGACTCCACAGCAGTTTAAATTCCATACTATGAGGTTTCCTGGGCTCAGACCCACCCAAAAGCTTATGTTCCGAGTCTCCTGAGAGAGCCCGAGGCAGACGGACGTCTGTGACCTGGCCTGGGCCCAGTCCCGTCACGCGGCCACTGCATCGGGAAAGCCCATGGATCCAAACCCAGCAGCGCCACCCTAAAGACCCTGGCGGGGGGGTCCGAATGCCAGGCCGCCCACAAGGTTTCCCATGAACCATCAATTCACCGGGTTGACCCCGACCCCCAACTCAGTCACGATGTTGAGCTGTGTTTGGGGGCTTCTAAACACAGAGGAACAAGTCACGCCAAGCAAGGTCAACTCCAAATGGTGCCCTGGGGAGAGCTGAGAAGAACCAGCCCCGAGAACAGGACCTGAGCCCCGCAGCAGTGTCAGCCCTGGGCAGCCTGACAGGCCAGCTCCCGGGGCTCTTCGGTGAGAGGCAACACAGCAGATCTAGGGAGGGAGGCCAGGGCAAACGCAGGCAAGGAACCAAGTCGGGAAAATGTACACACTTACAAAAACCAAGGTACACAAGCCAGAAAGGCCAGCAGGTCACATAGTCCACAGACAGCATGACAGGCAGGGTGATGAGGACGCGCTGGAGGGTGCGAGGATTCGAGCAGAGTGAACCAGAGGCAGTGGCAGCACCACTGGAACGGGAGAGCGTGGGGAAGAAGCCACTGTCAGGACAAGCACTGAATCTGGCTCTGGATAAGAAGTAGCAAGAGGGGGGCCTCCCTGCTGGCCTAGGCGTTGAGTCTCAGCGCTGTCACCGCCATGGCCTGAGTTCGATCGCTGGCCAGCCAGGGTGCTGACCCACAGGTCATAGCAGACCTCTCCTGTCTCCCTGCTGCTCCCCTCAGCCGTGTATTTCAGTCAATCCACCTGTTCTTCTGCTCCCCACTCTGTCTCTCATGAATCCTCTTACCCCCCCCCCACCTCTGGCTTACACCCCAGTTCTTCTACGCAAAAATAAATAATTATCAAAATAAGTGGCAGGAAAGAGAAAGAAACTAGCATACAATGAGGAAGACGCGACTTCAGGCAACTGGAAATACAGGAACAGGCCTCCGGCCATACACCAGGACTGGAAAAGACAGCGGAGAACTACCTGGATGGACAACGGGTGAGATCTGCAGGAAGATGAGCGAGGAGGTGACATCATTTACTGACAAAGGCAGGAAGAGAAACGGAGGAACACCAGAGGGTTCTACGCGACAGGAAGGAGTAGGGAAGGACGAGAAGGCGGCCTGCCGCAGGCCAGCGATGGCACCCGGTCCATGGAAAGTGAGAGCAGGCGCAGCTGGCCAGGGGGTTAGGAAGTGACCAGCACATTTGGGGGAAGAGTGAAGACAGGGCTCCGGAAAGGGAGCGGGGGAGCAAAACTGCAAGGGGGCACATCACTCATTCAGCGGAGTGGTGGGCGCAGGGCTAGTGACAAGGGGGAGCAGAGCACAGGCGCCCTGCACTCTCAGGTGGGCCAGTCGGGGGCAGCCGCGGAAGGAGCAAAGACACCGCAGGGACAGCCTGAGAAGCGAGATCGCGGTGAACGTCGGGGGAGATGAGAAGAGGACTGAGCAAACATTTTCCTCTGACAGGAGGAAGGGAGAGAGAGAACGTGAGCAGAGCCGCGGTGACTGAAAGAGGCTGTTAGCAAAGGTAATTCAGGAGCGGAACAAGAACCCTAACTTAGAATAAACAAGCCGCCAGGGCCGCGGGAGGCCACTTCTAGCCCCACCAGGGACCTGCTCTTAGCCACCCCGCAGCAGCGCCCCTACAGTCCGACGCCAAGCCCCGGGCGGAGGCGGAGTTCCTCACTCACGGTGGAGCAGGCTGTGCAGGGAAGGAGGGTGGAGTTCAAGGTGAGGGTGCAGCTGTCTATGACAGACCTTTGTGATCTGGGGGAGACCATCTGCTCCTCTCAATGGAAGACACACCTGCCAGGAGCAGCGCTCCGGAGGCAGAGAGCCTGGAACACCGGCTGGGAGACGCTTGCAGACCCTCGAAGGCTGAGCAGAGCAAAGGTCTGACTTCTTACATCACTACTTTTCAAAAGCCTCAGCAGAAACAGGTATAAACTGCTGATGTCACGTAAACAGCTAAAAATAGACCGCTTTATAAAGTGTAAATGAAATGTGCAGCAGTTGCCAAATAGTTTAGGGCACTGAGCTGAAGATAAGATAGGGACAAATGACATTTTTATGGTCTTTCCTTTTCAAGCCAAGTCCAACAGAATCGCTGGGACCGGGATCACGTCGCTGCTTTAGCAGCTGTCCTCACGTCAGCTCCAGAGATGGAGAAAGGTTTGATACTTTTAAAAATCCTTCACCTAGAGAAGAAGAGACGCCTCAGCCCGATGACGAATATTTATCAAACTCCTTCAGCAAACACTGTGTGGTGATGGTGGGAGGGCAGCTCCCTGTGCCACTGTCACCGCCTCTCAGCATTCCCTGGAGTGACCAGTCAGCAGGAAAAGCAGCAAAGAGACATGAAAAAGGCAAAGGTTTTTTTTTTTGGAAATAAATGGGCAAACATTCACAGAAAAAGGCCCGGCATAAAAGCGCAACACAACCTCTGGATTCAAGCATCAACATACAGAAATAAAATGATTCCTACAGAGCAAATATGAATGTACACCATATAAATACTGAACATAAAACGTGTAAAAACCTCGACGGGGAAATTTATAAAAGTCCACGACACAAGCTCCAAGAGGACGCGAGGAGGAGCACTTCACAGGCGGACGGGGCTCGGAGGACAAAGGTGCGCGTTCTCCTCAGCTGCTCTGCACGCACCGATCCCCAACCAAAATCCGAACAGGGTTGGGGTACGTGTCATTCACAGGCTCAGTTGTGCACTCAAGTGCAAAGGACCCAAAGTCCCCTCCCCACAGGACGCTGCCTGCGGCTGCCCCTCCAGGCACTCCCTCCGCGGGCCCAGAGTCTCCAGGCGCTAGGCAGCTGGCCCCCCAGACAGGTAATGAACAGCCGGCCCCAGCACACAGCGCCTGGAGTGCAGCTGCTCTCTCCTCTCTGGGAAAGTCACTCCCAGGAACCACCAGGAGGGCGGGGAAGTAGCTCAAGCAGTGGCGGGTCCCTCTTCTGGGCGCAACAGGGGAGGATGGGAGCCTGGGCCTTCTCTTCCCTGGCCTGGAGGCGCCACCTTCCCCTGGTGAAACTTAGCCCCTAAGCCGTGTGAGTTCACCTCTGGCCAGGTAAGCAAGGGCTGCAGCCACAAGGTGTCCTCTGCACACAGGTGGTAACCCAGAGGTCACGCCTTGATGTCACAATTTGAAAAACTGTTTTAAAGGTTTTAAAGTAGTAACAAGACCTGCAGAAGAGAGTCCTCCCTTCCCCCATCCTCCAACCTCTCATCTTAGCCTTTCCCACCTGCATGAAAGGGAAGGTGACTGAGCCACGGCTCTCCTGGCAGAAGTGACAACACGGGGCTCCCTGGTGGTGCAGGGGTTAACGTCTCAGCGCTATCAAGCTATCGCACACGGTGCCTTGGCCCAGAAGTGCCCCGAGAAGCCTGGCAGAGTGAACTGAGGCTGAAGATCCCACTGGACACGGCCAAGTCCTCTCGATGGCAGTGCCAGCAATCACACATCTAAAAACACCATCATCCTGGTGGTGAAAACAGGTTCATAAAAGATCATCGCTTAGCAGTGAGCAGTCATCTACAAATCGTGAGCTCCCTCCAAAGGGCCGTGGGTCTTGGTGACAATTACAGGCGCAAACTTGAGATGCGCAGCTCCCCATTGAACACTCTGGGTACAGCTCATGCCCCACTGCACAGCTTCAACACGGCAGCTTCCACGCCCCGCGCCACCTCCTGTTTGCTGTGGCACGTGAGCACACAAGTGGTGCCAGTGATGCCAGCCACACAGCACACTTCAATCCTGCCTGAGTTGGCTTCCTGCCGCCATCACCTGACCTGACCCCAGACTGTCACTGCTGCTGAGCTACTGTCACTCTGAGCCGTCAGCTCCAACTAGCCAAAGCAAGCCCCCGTGCCAGGATTGTGCCAGAGCTTCACTGTCACGGGACGATGCACAAAAAACTCTCCTTCCCGGGGCCTCCCTGGTGGCTCAGGGTTTAAGTGTCAGCATTATGACGCTATCCGCAGCCACTACAGCATGAGTTCGATCCCCGGCCAGGGAGCTACCCACATGGCGCAGCAGACCTCTCCTGTCTCCCTGCTGCTCCCCTCAGCAGTGGATTTCAGTAGATCCGCCTGTTCTGCTCCCAGTAGATCCACTCTGTCTCTGGTGAATCCTCTCACCCCCACTTCTGGCCTACACCCCAGCTCCTGTATGCATAAACAAATAAATCTTTTTTAAAATAACCTCCCCTTCCCATCCACATAAAACTACGTCTTGGACCTTCGCCTGGGGGCCCGTCATTCTCCTGACATGGGTCCCTGCAGCAGGAGGGCTCTCTGTGCGAAGAGGAACCACGTATATGCCCTGGGGTCTTGTGTTAAAACATCTGGTAACAGGGCTTAGCAAAACACCCCCAAAACTATTACTGAGGTTACTAAATAAAACAGGCCTCTAGGGAAAAAACTTCCCTACCCGAGTAAAAAGAAAACATGGAAGAGTAGAGGTGGGTAGAGAGGGCGAAGGCGCTTGGTTTTCCAGTACCCCCGGCTGTGAGAGACGGTACCTTGTCCATGTGGAAGATCAAGTCCAACTCACAAACATTTTCGAAACACTTATCCAGGGTCTCCACAAAAACCTAGGGAACAAGGAGAAACAGGAACATGTTCACATCATCCTCAACAGCAAATCTGAAAAGAAAGGGAGCAGTCATGGTCGGAGCCACCTCACCGAACCTCTCCTAAAAGCCCAGCTGCCAGCATCAGCCAGGACAGCAAGATGCTGCTTCACGGTCACCACAGCGCCAGCGGTACGGCGGCCTTCTATTATCCTTTCTAAGACGCAACTGTCCGTAAAAGAGTAACTGAAATGGCACCTATTTACAGTACCACATCCTTTCCCTTGCTTGCACGGATACATGTACAAAAAGTTTTCACTACTAGTGTGAACCTAGTTTTGTCCTGATTCCAATTCACATGAACTTCAAAACACCTTCCCACACAACAATTTAATTTAAAAGCTGATGATTTAAACTTTTCAACCTAACATTTAAACAGAAAAATGTGTAAATGACAGTGGTATAGCTTAGCGGACCCTCAGGACTGACGTGTCCTGGAACGGCCACCCCGACACGGAACTGGCAAGTCACCAGGTCCCCAGCCGCACCCCTCATGCCCAAGGTAACGCCCATCCCAACCCCTTTCACCAGTTTTGTCTGTGAATTTTTTTTTTTTAAGATTTATTTATTTATACAAGCACTGGGTACAGTCAGAAGCGCGGGAGGGTGAGAGGATTCACCAGAGCCAGAGCGGGGAGCAGAGCAGGCAGAAGGACAGAGGTACACTGCTGAGGGGAGCAGCGGGCAGCAGGAGGGGTCTGCGCGCCATGGGGGACCCTCACCCGGCAGGAGGCCGGGGATCAAACTGGCGCTGCAGAGGCGGCGGGCAGCTTCGCAACCCAGCACTCAACCGCTGCGCCACCAGGCAGGCCCGTTTTGACTGTGAATTTACAACGATGAAGCCATACAGCAACAGATACTGGTCTGGCTTCTTGCACCCATGTTTGTGAATTCCTCTACTTGCTGAATGTCCTAAGCCTGTTTCTATTCACCGCTGCATATTATTTCACTCTAAAATCTACCTTTTCTACAGATGGGTCACCTGCAAACGATTTGCATTTGGAAACTATCTGACATTATTCAAGGCTGTTATGTACCGATGCTCACTGACCCAACACTTCCACTGCTGGGCCTGCAGCTGGGAGAGGGGCACAGATGCGCACAAAACCACACACACCACCTCAGATCCGCACCACTCACATCATTCTCACAGGGAATGACTATGTCACCTAAAGCCCTGCGTCGGGCACTGAGTAAGTCCTTTCTGACAAGCCAACGCAGGTTGGGGGAGAGGTTTACCAAGTAATTTTGTTGAGAATTTCCTCCCTTCCCCATGCCCAAACCTCACGGAGTTGTTTACGCTTGGATGCCAGGCCACCTAATTTTCTCGACTTTTCTCCCCACGTTCCACCTGTGCCCTTGCCTTGATCTTCCTAGACTGCAGTCACGGTGGGGCTCTCCCGTGGCCCCATTTTTCTCTGGGGATTTTTATTTGCGCTATCATTTTGTATGGCTTCTTGTCTGCATAGGAAGCCTTGCGTGTGTCTCCTGATTTCCCTGTGGTTAAGGGTAGGGTCTGTTTGCTTGTTTTCCTTTCTCTGTAGTCTCATTTCCTCTAAGTTGCTTTTCACTGTTCATTTTAGTCTCTATCATTCATGTTAGATTTTCTTGACTTCTGATCCCCTTTGGTTTGTTTATTCAGAAGAAAAGGCTGACTGAAAGCTCTGTAATCCTGGATATTTGGGGGATCCTCCACCCCCCTAGCTTATTTCCTTCCCCTTAAACTGGTCAGATTTCCCAAAGAAATTTTTAATACCCTGCCTGAACACCAGCAGCCAGGCAGTGGGGGCGAGCAGCAGGACGCAGCTGGAAAGCCCCGGCGGGTGCACCTTAGCCCACACCACCGCCCAAGCCTGCCAGCCCCGTGCGCTTTCCGGAGAGTAAATCTCTCCAGTCATGTGGGGGAAATTGGAAACGGGGGCCGCACTTAGGGACTTAGCACTAACTGGCTCTCAGACAGCGTTCTCGGTGTGCCCGCCTAGGGGGCCGCGCCGTGGCCTGGAGTGGGCGGGCCGCCAGCTCCCCCCACTGTGGGCCGGGAAGTGGCTTCTCTGGCCTTGCCAAGACAATTACCAGGCACTCTCATTCTCTCCTGCCTTCAAGAATTTCCTCATACCGCCTCCTCTCCTGTTCCTTTTTCTTGTGTGTTTATGTTCTTTTAAAACTCATGTTCTGCAGTTTTAAAAGAAGTGTGGAAATTCCCAGGAAAATGTGTTTTAAATGGAAATGTACAATGTCCAAAGTTCCTATAGAAAATAAAATGTGAACGAATACTCTGCTAAGAACCTTCGGGAAAACAATGTTAGTAAGGAAGGACTTGTCTCTGGTAGGTGTCAAAATTCATGATAAAGCTTTGGCGATTAAAACAGTGTAGTTCTAAGACAGGAGTGAAAATATGGACCAGTGTGTGTGTGTGGGGGGGGGGGGCGGGGGATGTAAAACACCGAAACGCACACGTGCTGAGGAGAAAATATGATTTCCCCTAGACTTGGTCATACAATTTTCTTTTTTTTCTTTTAAAGATTTATTTATTCATGCATACAAGAACTGGGGTACAGACCAGAGATGTGGGAGGGTGAGAGGATTCACCAGAGACACAGCGGGGAGCAGAACAGGCAGACTGAGGAAATACACTGCTGAGGGGAGCAGCGGGTGAGACCGGAGAGGTCTGCCGCACCATGTGGGGATCTCCCTGGCCAGCAGAGATGGAACCCATGCTGCAGAGGCTGCGGCCAGCTTCACAGCGCTGCGGCTCAACCGCCTGCGCCACCAGGGGAGGCCCGGTCACATAATTTTCAATACCCTTAAAGGCATGAACCAGATTTGGAAATTACAAAAAGGGGAAAAAATCACATAAAGTCAACTATAAATGAAGACAAAGACAGATGAAAATATATCAATACCTATGTCTTAAATAAAGTAAAGCTTTTCATAAAAATCAAAGGTAGGCTTTTACCTTATGCTGAACAATGCTGGCTCTAGAATTCTCTGCAATCCTGAACAAAAATGCAGTCCCTAAAAATTGTTTTCCGCTTACTATGAATGTTAGTATGCCCAAATTCGACCATGTTGAAAACTGCCACTGTCTCACTTCTGCAGCTGAGTTTCAGCCACACTGTGGTGACAGTCACCTTGAGAAACCAGGGACACCACAACTTTGGGTTCTGATGTTCAAGAAAAGTAGAGTAAAGAGCTGTTGTGTACAATACTTTTAGATGCTCTGGAAGACCCCAAATCCTATCCCTTATGGCCGTCTGTGAAAAAGTCACAGCCTATCACGGAGCGGCCTCACACCCCGAGTCTGCACCCCAGAATCAACTTTCTAAGCCTCCACGGTTAAGTGACGCCCAGTGCTCTCCCTGCCAGAAGGTCTGGGGTGGGGCCCTTTATCAGGCACAGGGCCTCCCATGCCAAGAAAATACCATTTCTGATGAAGGTGGTATTTTAAATTGATGGGGAGAAGAGCTAGTTGATAAGCTGAGTTGGGACAAATGGCTCTCCTTTGGGGAAAAAAATGAAAGTAGTGAAAGTAGTTACTATTTCAATACAAATATAAAAACACCTTAGAGATATTACTGAGCTAAAAACCAAAAACAAACTGAAAAGACAACGGCAGATCCCCTTTGTGCATCTGGGTCTTTAGTGGGTCTGTGGGAAGCTCGGGGCGGGGGGGCAGGGGGAGGCCCTGTCCCCGAAGACAGGGCACACTGAGAAGAGACCGTATTTCTCCGAAGCTACCCTCACTGGGAGACGACCCTCACTGGGAGGCTGAGAGGCATTCAGATGGCTGTTAGCTGCCCTGGCGCCGTAACAAAACCCCACGGCTATGGGCTCACACAACACAAATCTATTTTCCCAGTTCTGCAGGCCAGACATCCCAGCCCAGGTCTGGCAGGAGAGGTTCTGGGAAGGATGCTCTTCCTAGCTCGCAGAGGACCTTGAAGAGCCTTTCTTTAGTCTGTGTGGGTGGAGAGCGTGCTCTGATGCCTCTTCCTCTTCTAAGAAGAACACCAGTTGTGTGGGATCTGGGCCTGACCTTATAATCCCCCGGAATCTAATCACTCCTTAAAGGCCCCATCTCCAAATACAGTCACAAGCAAGTGAGAGCTTCAACATATGGATGTCGGGGGACATGCTCTCACGCATGGCAGGTGGGGTTCTCAAGTAGGCTGCTGACTCAGAATAAGACGGACCAGCTCAAGAAATGACGCACACAGACAGAGATCAAAAAGGAGTAATCAGGAGGTATCTGTTTCTCCCTGGGTCTCAAAATGTCATTTTTCTAGATAATGATCAAGAGGAAGAAAAGTCAGAAAATGCAAGAAGGGAACACGGGAGTCAAAGCAGAAGCAGAGCGGCCAGCCAGCCACTAAGTAAATGGATGCAAATTCTCGAAGAAACACAAATCTGAGGAACATGATGACAAAGAACATTCTTCTGATAAAGGAAGGGAGCAACCAAGTTCCTCTGAAACAGTGAGCAGACACAGGCAAAGAACATCATCAAGATGCAGAAGTCACTCAAGATCGAAGCCGCCGCAGGAGGGAGGGAGACGCCCGGTTCTGGGGAGCAGAGCGGAGCAGGGAGCAGCTGTCGTCCCCACGCAGGATCAGCCCACACAGGGCAGAGCAGAGGTCAAGCCAGAGAGACGGGAAAGGGGAAAGCAAGACCTAGCAAATGTGGAATTTCTAGTCCACCCTCTTCGGAGGCCGGACACAGCAATGGCTCCTTAGGAAGCTCGAGCTAGGAGATCAGAAGAGGCAGAAAAATGACAAGAACAGACAGATGTGAAAATAAAAATGAGAAACAAGTGCAGCTACTGGAGATGCTGTGGTCAGGGCTGCTGTCCTGTTGGCATCTAGAAAAGTAACTTTTCCTCACAGAGCTGTGGCGACTCAAGGGCAGCGCCGAAAGCCGACACCTTGGCAGAGACCAGAGTTGCCAAGCCTCACCCTTGAGCGCCAGCAGCTGTGAAGGCGCGGGCATGTGCTGACCAAGCGGCAGAAAGGAAAACGCTCTGAAAAGCAAGGAGGGGGCCACATCTGGCCTGCTCACCTACGGGATGAGAGGAGGTGTGAAAACTAGAAGCAAATGTCAAATTTAGGAAATGAATGGGTACTGAGACTTACGTTATGTCAATTATATCTTAAGGAAGCTGGGGGAAAGGGAAAAATACGATTTTTGACAAATACCCCATCAGTGATACTGACATTAGTGCTGTCATCAGGTTAAACCACTTAATTCCATTAAACTAGACGATATTTTTTAGTTCATGAATCTCTTTCAAATACATAAAAGCTGCAGGTAGGATACAATTTCATCCATGGATTTTGTGTGTCCACTCTCTTGTGTACTTTTGTACTTAACTTTTTGCCGTTATTTTCATCTCTTAAAACATGAAAGAAACATTACAAGGTACAATTTAGATTATCTGGCCACTCCTAGGTATTTACCCAAAGGACACAGAAACATCAATTCCAAAGGGCACCTGCACGCCTATGTTTATAGCAGCACTGTTTACAACAGCTAAGCTTTGGAAACAGCCCAAATGCCCAAAAATAGATGACTGGATCAAGAAGATGGGGTCCATATACACCATGGAATATTACTCAGCATTCAAAAAAGATAAACACATGCCGTTTGCAGCAACATGGATGGCGCTGGAAGGGATCATGCTCAGCGAAATAAGCCAGAAAGAAAAAGAAAAATACCGGATGGTCTCACTCATAGCAGGAATCTAAAAAACCTAAATAAGAGACCGGGAAAAAGACTAATCAATGCAAAGTAATAATCAAAATCAACAAGCAACTATAAACCGGAGACACACTATGGGGCGGGGGGGTGGGGGGGATTAGGGAAGGGCGGTGAGAGGAAGAACTAGCATCAAAATAAGGGGGGGTGCAATTGTATGGGGAATATAACCACAATGAAAATGCATACACTGTACAAAGATGAAAAATGATGTAAGAATTACATAAAATAAAATATTAAAAAAATTAAAAAAAAAATAGATTATCTGGCCATTTGCTACGTAATCTAACACGAATAAGCTGGATGGTAATGGTAATAAAAATGGTTTTCTCAATAGAAAAAAAAAGAAAAAATGGCCATACTAAAGAACACTTTTATACCCTGTTAAAATGAAAGAGAATTTGCTTTCATGATGGCCGCTGGTCTCTCCCCAAGATAACACAGCTCTGGCTCTTGGTTTAAAAAGAAAATGGAAAAAAAAATAAATAAAAAAAAAAAATAAAAAGAAAATGGGCTGCTTCTAGAGAAATTAACTGCATGAACAGGGGAGCAGAGGAAAGACGCTTTCAGTGTATATGTGCAGTATGCCTTTTGAATTTTCAACCGCATACATTATCTCTTCAACTACAAATATCGTATACCAAAAAAATACACTAAATAAAGGAATAAAAATGCTTCCTATTCCAATTTAAGAGCGTTTCAAGACCATAATTTGGGTAATCATTTCTCTTGGCATCAACTGATGCAATTATACTAGCTTCCACTACTTTTCTTACTGCTGTAATAGACTAAAATTTTTTCCTTGTTAAACCCATCCTTCGGATAAAGACTATTTGGAGACAATGAATAATTCTTCTAGTATGCAGTATTCCTGAGAGAATTTCAGCGCAAGCAGAGAACATCTGGTATTCTTGTCATCAACACACAACACACACAGACACACACACACACAGAAGGGCCAAAACACAAAACTAAAGTCCCAAGGTCAACAAAGCCCAGTGATTTAAGGCCACAAGACCTGGATAGGGAGAGCAGGAACAGAGCCAGGTCTTGTGAGCCTTACTTAGTTCAACTGGTTTTCTTTAGCAAGCCTGCAGCAATACTAAAATGCAACATTTGAGTACCATTTTCTTTTTAGAAAAGCTCTTGGATAGGGCCTCCCCTGGTGGCGCAGGCGGTTGAGCGCCGCGCTATGAAGCTGTCCACAGCCTCTGCAGCACCGGTTCAATCCCAGCCGGCCAGTTCAATCCCAGCCAGCTGGCGAGGGTCCCACATGGCGCTGCAGACCTCTCCTGTCGTGCCCGCTGCTCCCCTCAGTGTATTTCGTCAATCTGCCTGTTCTGTTCCCTGCTCTGTCTCCGGTGAATCCTCTCACCCTCCTGCGAATCTGGCCTGTACCCCGGATCTTGTATAAATAAATAAATAAATCTTTAAAAAAAAAAAAAGCTCTTGGATACAACCATCCTATTCCATGAAATACACGTAAGTAGCACACTTGTTTTCATTCTGAATTTATTTATTTTTGCTCTTGCCCCCCTGCCTGTTATTCTGAATCTAAAAAATTCTTACCTATCAACAAGAAGTCATTTTTTTCCTGAAATTGTACATTTTATTCTAACATATTAAATACCTTTTTGTTGACATAATTTGGGTAACTTTTTTTTTTTGTAGTCAGCTTTTTAAAATGTATTGGTAATGTAACTACATCATCCCTAGAAATGTTTCCTTGTTTTCTTTTACCTATCAGGCCAACTGTTTATTGATTTTATTGTCTTGTCAAAGATCCAACCGCTCAGTTTCCATTATTTTCACCTTTTACTTATCAATCTTCCTATATTTCAATATTCTCATTTTTTCACTATTCACTTATCTTCCGAAATCCAATGCACACTAAATATTTAACAAATGCCATTATGTTATAGTTACATCTCTGTCTTGTTAATATAGATGATTTGAAGTACATTTCTTCTAATAACTACTTCTAAATGTAAAAAAAAAAAAATATGTGAAAACCCACGGTTTGGTTCGAAAAGCCTCCAGACTAATGAACATGGGGCGATTCCGGGACAGCGAGGCATTCAGAGAGCATGGAAGCTCTGAACCTCTTCCCACACTTCCCCCCTTGGCTGTTGCTCAGTTACAGCCTCCTATAATAAGCTGACAATCCAGCACAAAAAATGTCTTGCCGAGTTCTTTGAGACACTCTAGCAAATAATGGAACCTGGGGAGGAGGTCATGGGAACCTCTGATCTACAGCCAGTCAGTCAGATCTCCAGGTAGAGGGTCAGAACAGAGTTAAATCTGTGGGACACCTGGTCACTGTCTGGGCAAAACTAGGCTAATTACTTGGTGTTGGTGGGAAAAAACATGCATGTCAGAACTGGTGTCAGTCTTCATGAAAACCGGGGGTCTCCCTGGTGGCGCAAGGGGTTAAACACCACACTATGAAGCAGTCCGCAGCCTCTGCAGCATGCGTTCGATCCCCGGCTGGCCAGGGAGCTGACCCACATGGCGCAGCAGACCTTTCCTGTCTTGCCTGCTGCTCCCCTCAGCAGTGTGTTGCAGTCAGTCTGCCTGTTCTGTTCCCCGCTCTGTCTCTGGTGACTCCTCTCACACACACACCCCTCCCTCCATCTCTGGCCTGTGTTCCAGCTCTTGTATGCATAAATACATACATCTTTTTAAAAAAAGAAAAAAAAAGCAGTGAGGGCTGGGAGAAACCAAATGAGCTGAAGCCAGTGTTTCTGCAGCTGCTCAGGCGCTTTCTCACAGCACCACCTGGTGGACAGCTGGCAACTTCTCCCCGTGTCAATACAGAGACGAATGAAAGGCTCTAGAGGTATTCTGACATGGTAGCCATCGTTAGCTGCCTACACATACCTGGATGAGGTCCAAGATCCCAAGTTCACTCTCTGATGAATCCACACAAAACACAAAGTAGAGGGTAGCATAGTGCCGGTAAATCAGCTTGTAGTCAGAGCCACCAATCAAGCTGTGGAAGACAGAATCACTTACATGCCTGCATCTTAATCAAACACATAAGAGAGGAGTGCAGTGCCCAGAATGAGAAGGGGCCCAAACAGAAGGTGGGGTGGGGGTGAAAGTCAAACAAGGGACCATTTCTGCCAGGTGACTGGCAACCAAGTGTGGCAGAAACTCTCAAGTGTTCTGCCCATCCTCTTAGAAACTACGCACCTGAAGGCGTACTAGCTGAAGGACAGCCATTCCACAGCTCCCAGGACAGGACTGGGGCTCCCTGGGCAGATCATGCTAAGATCCGCTCAAGCTGTCAGGTCCCTGCCTGACCCTTGGGTACTACTTGAAGAAGCAACAGTGATGAGGACCGCCTAAAGGGATGTATGGGGGAAACTAAAGCTGATCCTTTACCTTCCACCCTCCAAGAAGTTACAAATGTTGTCATCCCGCTTGAGAACTAGATGGAAGGTCTCTCGAACAATCTGCTGTTGAATTTCTTCTGGCTGTGGAATAAGAGAATAAGGCGAATCAGTGGGGATGTCTGAAAAACCACACCCCATTCATGAGGATGGGCAGGGAGAGGAGTGCTAGGAACGATCTGAATGTTTGGTACCAGTCTCCAGAAAAGATAAAAATGATGAAGAAAAAAAAATGGACAATTGAGGCAAAAATGGACTAGTTCCATTACAGAAACTAAGACATGGTCTATCTACCTAGCTATTTAGTCACTGACCACCCCCAGTCTAGGTTCAGCTGATATTTCTTCAGTTAACGAAGTATGAAAGGAGATCCAAAGAGCTCTACACAAGTCAAAGACTAGAAGACCTGTTCACGAAGGAGTCTGTCTTCCCCCAGCAACACCAATGCCAGGGAAATAACAAATGTCAACAGGTTTAACACCTCAAGGAGGTCAAGATATAATCAGGTTTCTGTTCTTCAAAATTGAATTTGCTCCCTTCTACACTGGCATTGCATAATTGCTCTTAGTAGTACTAGAATGTAAGTATTACTGACAGATGCTGTGTTACCAACAAATACATTACTTAGAAAGCCAAAAAAAGTTCTATTTACAGATAAGAATTCTGAACAATCCTAGAGCTACAAATATATATACACACACATATATCTATCTTTTACTACACATGCGACAGCTCAACTGTGATGGAGTCACTTAGTAGCTCACTTTGATTTCTATTTGTAACTTTGAGGCTTATCATATGCATGGGCTGGTTTTTTTTTTTTGTTTGTTTGTTTGTTTTAATATAATGGGATGGGGCCTCCCTGGTGGCACAAGGGATTAAGCAACACACTATGAAGCAATCCGCAGCTCCTGCGGCATGAGTTCCATCCCCGGCTGGCCAGGGACCTACCCACAGCAGACCTCTCCTGACTCGCCCTCTGCTCCCCTCAGCAGTGTATTTCAGTCAGTCTGCCTGTTCTGTTCCCCACTGTCTCTGGTGAATCCTCTCACGCCCCGCATCTCTGACCTGTACCCCAGCTCTTGTATGCACAAATAAATATATCTTAAAAAAAAAAAAAAACTATAATGGGAGTACCAGTCATTAAGACAACACTAATTAAAAGCTGCATACCAGTGCTTCTCACTCTTAAGCTTAAGAAAACCTTCAGATTGGGTATGCCTAAGAGAAAAAAGATTCAAGTGATGTTAATCCCTTTCTTTTGACAGCATGGAATTTTGGTTTGAAATGGTTACTTCTTGGCCTCCCCGGTGGCGCAGTGCATTGAGCGCAGCGCTGTGAAACTGTCCACAGCCTCTGTAGCATGCGTTTGATTCCTGGCCAGCCAGGGAGATCCCCACAGGGCACAGCAGACCTCTCCTGTCCCCCCGCTGCTCCCCTCAACAGTGGATCCGCCTGTTCTGGTCCCCACTCTGTCTCTGGTGAATCCTCTCACCCTCCCGCGCCTCTGGCCTGTACCCCAGCTCTTGTATGAATAAATAAAATCTTAAAAAAAAAAAAAACTGAAATGGTTAGGTTTTTTTTTTTTTTTTAAATAGAGGCATGTTTTATTTATTTATTTGTTTGTTTGTTTATACATGCACTGGGTACAGTCAGAAGCGCGGGAGGGTGAGAGAATTCACCAGAGCCAGAGCGGGGAGCAGAGCAGGCAGAAGGACCAAAGTACAATGCTGAGGGGAGCAGCGGGCGGCAGGAGAGGTCTGCGCGCCATGTGGGACCCTCCTCCGGTGGCCGGGGAGCAGCGGGCGGCAGGAGAGGTCTGCGCGCCATGTGGGACCCTCCTCCGGTGGCCGGGGAGCAGCGGGCGGCAGGAGAGGTCTGCGCGCCATGTGGGACCCTCCTCCGGGGGCCGGGGAGCAGCCGGGGATCGAACCGGCACCGCAGAGGCCGCGGGCAGCTTCGCAACCCAGCGCTCAACCGCTGCGCCACCGGGGAGGCCCAGGTTTTTTTTTTTTTAAAGATTTATTTATTTACTTATACAAGCACTGGGTACAGTCAGAAGCGCGGGAGGGTGAGAGAATTCACCAGAGCCAGAGCGGGGAGCAGAGCAGGCAGAAGGACGGAAGGACACTGCTGAGGGGAGCAGCGGGCGGCAGGAGAGGTCTGTGCGCCGTGTCGGACCCTTGCCCGGCGGCCGGGGATCGAACAGGTGCTGCAGAGGCTGCAGGCAGCTTCGCAACCCAGCGTTTAACCGCTGCGCAACTGGGAGGCCCTGAAATGGTTAGTTCTTTAGAAGAAAGACATGAGGGAAATAGGGCAAAATGTCATTGTGGAGAAATTATTTTTTAAATTTATTCTTATTTATGCATACAGGAACTGGGGTGTAGGCCAGAGGTACAGGGGATGAGAAGATTCACCAGAAAGAGTGAGGAGCAGAATAAGAATATCTACTGAAATACACTGCTGAGGGGAGCAGTGGGCGAGACAGGAGAGGCCCATCTCGCCATGCGGGTTAGCAAACTGGCCAGGGATTGAACTTGCACTGCAGTGGCTGGCAATAGCTTGAATAGTGCTGAGATTTAACCCCTTGCGGCACCAGGGAGGCCCCGGAGAGAAATTACCTTTCATAATTTTGACAACATGGCTAATCACTGGTCAGTATAAGTTCAGGCGACACACACAAATTGTGAATAGTGTTAAAACTGAATAGTGTTAAAAAAGAAATGATAGGTCCCAAATTGGAGCCATTTACGCCTGCCAAGACTAAACACCTAAACCAACTGCACTTACAACCTCCCGCAGGCATGTAGTCTTAACCAGCCAAGATGTAATTTTCTTGTCGGCACCTTCCATCCCCTTCCATGACCCCTGGTGGGTTACCTATGCTCAAAATCATCTCTTTCTGATTTTTCAAAAGATTTATTTATTTATGTATACAAGAACTGGGGTGTTGACCAGAGGTGTGAGGGGTGAGAGGATTCACCAGAGTGGGGAACAGAACAGATGGACTGACTGCTGAGGGGAGCAGTGGGGGACAGGAGAGGTCTGCTGTGCCATGTGGGTAGCTCCCTGGCCTGGGGATGGAACTCGTGCTGCAGAGGCTGCGGACAGCTTCACAGTGCTGCGACCTAACTCCTTGGGCCACTAGAGAGGCCCCCAAATCATCTCTTTTTGTATTGCATTTAGAAATCTTTCCCTTTCTGCAGCCTTTTCGAGCTCCTCCTACCTGCTGGACGGGTGCTGCTGATTGAGGAATCGTCTAATAAAGCCAATCTCAAATGCACTCAGTTCGGTTTTTATCATTTGACAAAACCTATATTGAAATGTAAAATGTAACCATGCTTTAAAAAAATCTGAAGTATGGGCCTCCCCGGTGGCGCAGGCAGTTGAGCACTGGGTTGAGAAGCTGCCCGCAGCCTCTGCAGCGCAGGTTCGATCCCCGGCTGCTCCCCGGCCACCGGAGGAGGGTCCCACCTGGCGCGCAGACCTCTCCTGCCGCCCGCGGCTCCCCTCAGCAGTGTACTTCGGTCCTTCTGCCTGCTCTGCTCCCCGCTCTGGCTCTGGGGAATCCTCTCACCCTCCCGCGCTTCTGACTGCACCCAGTGCTTGTGTAAATACATAAACAAAGCTGACGTAAAGGTTACTTTCCCCACTTCTGACAAGGGAGACAGGCCTGGAAGAGACCCCGCAGCTCTCCAAGGCGCCAGGGTCGGGGCGGCGGGGCTGAGACCCCCGCGTGGGTGTGAGGGCCGCGGCGAGGCCGGTCGGCCCAGCCCGGGGCGGCCGCGAGCCCCGGCGGAGGCGCGGGGGGCGCGGGGCGCGGGGGCGCGGGGCCGGCGGCGTTTCTGGAAACCCGGGCTCCCGTCCCCGGGGCCCGCGCGCGGCCGGCGCCGCCTCTCCCGGCGGCAAACGGGCGACCCCCGGACACGCCCCGCGGGCTCCCGCCGCCCGGGCTGAGGCGGCCGCCGCGCTCGGGGCGCTCCGCGGCCCTCGGGTGTCCCGGGGCGCCCGAGCGCGGGCCCGGGGGCGGGGCGGGGCGGGGGCGGGCGGGCGGGCGCACTCACGAAGCGCTGGTAGAAGCGGACGAGCCGCGGCTTCCCGTGGTTGTTGAACACCAGGATGGCCTGAATCATCGCGGCGGCTCCGCTCCGGCCCGCGGCGTCCCGGCCTCGGCTTCCGCCGCGCGCGGCCACTTCCGGCGGGTGCGCCGCCCACAGCGGTCCGCGGAAACCGGCGCCGGCGCCCGGGGGCCCGGCCGCCCCCGCGCCCCCCGCCCCCCGGCCCCCGCCCCCCGCGCCGCCCCGCCGCGCAGTCGCCCTCGTGGGGGCGCCCGGGCCCGCTCCTGCCCCCCGGGCTCCCGCCGGCGCCCCTCGTGCCGACGCCCCGCGGGGGGGGGCGGCCCCCGGGAGCGCGGACGCGTTTCCCCTCGAAGGGACCGCGGCCCCGGGCGGGAGGCCGCCCTCTCCGCGACGGGGCGGACCCGCGGGGCTCCCCGCCCCCGAGGCCTGCGCGGAGGCCCGGCCGCGTCCCGGGGGGCCGGGGCCGGCGCGGGGCGGGGGCGGGGGCGGCGGCGAGGCTCGGGGCCGGCGCTGGCCCGCGGGCGACCCCGGAGGCCGCGCCAGGCCTCGCGCGCGCGCCCGCGAGAAACGCTCATTTTGAAAGTCACGCGAGAGCGGGGCGGGGCGGCCGCGGGGACGCGCGCGGCGGGGCCGGGGGGCCCCCACCCCCCGCCACCCCGGGCCGCCCGGGGGTCCCGCTCCGCCCGCCGGGCCGGGGCGCCCCTCCCCCCGCAGCGCCGGCCTCTCCCCTCGGGGCGCGACGCCGCCTGGGGGCGTCACCCGCGCGGGGTTCGCGGGCCGCGGCCGCGCGAGGGCCTCAGGCGGGCCCCACGGCCGCGCTGGGCGGCGGCGCCCCCTGCTCCCCGAGACGCGAGCGCGCGACCCGTGGGGCCCGTTTTTTAATTAAAAAAAATCCAAAGGCAGTAGAGCCGCCCTGGACCTGGACCCAGTGTCCGGATGTCGTGAGGGAGCCAGAGGCGCCCCGGGGCGGTCAGGCCCGGCCCTGTCGTCTGTGCGGACTCCGTGCGGCCTCCCCGGTGGCGCAGCGGGTTGAGCGCAGCGCTGTGAAGCTGTCCGCAGCCTCCGCAGCCAGGTTCGATTCCCCGGCCTGCCGGGGAGCTACCCACATGGCGCGGCAGACCCCTCCTGCCTCGCCCGCTGCTCCCCTCAGCAGTGGGTTTCAGCCAGTCTGCCTGTTCTGCTCCCACTCTGTCTCTGGTGAACCCTCTCACCCCCTGTATCTCTGGCCTGTACCCCAGCTCTTGTGTGCATCAATCAATCAATCTCTACAAAAATAAAGAAACTTAACCATGATAGGTCAGTCTAGGGAGAAATATAATAATAAATTGTACGGTGATGTATGAAGACAACTTGACAGTGGAAGGGAATTTAAATCAGTGTAACTGTTAGCAGCTTGAACACAAAAGCAGAATGGATTGAAGAGCTAAATGTAAAACCAGGTGATAAGTGAAATGAAGAAAATAAAATCAAGTAACACCCGAAAAGAACATACACCTAGAGGCAGTAAAAATCATAAGTCAATACACGTGTCTATGTATTGTTTATAAAATCAAGTTTTAAAAATGAAATAGTAGTCAAAATAAGGCAAACAGCTATATTGAAAGTAGGAATAACTGATAAATCAAAAATATGTCCCCTTTGAATAGAAAGAATTCCTAAAGGAATTGTGTAACAAGAGAAAATACATCTGGGAAAGGAACACTAAAAAAAAAGTCAAACTTAAAAAAGGTGGTTCTGAAGACCATGGAGCGACCTTGATAGTGACTAGTGAACATCAATTGCAAAGACTTTAAATGTTGTGTGTGGTCACAGTGTCTCAACCAGCCGGACCAGAATAGCCCCCCGAACCCCTCTCCCCCCACTCTCCACCGGCTTTCCCTGTGCTGTGCTCTTGCGGAAAGGTGACTTTCCTCCTGTCCATCAGAATCTCTTTCCATCTGTACCCCCACTGCCACAGGCCAATCCACTCTAGCCTCTCCCCCGCCCCCAATATTGGAGTCTCCTAGTTGGGTTCATCTCCCTCAGTTTCTCTTTGAAATATATAAACCAGGGCCTCCCCGGTGGCGCAGTGGGTTGAGCGCAGAGCTGTGAAGCTGTCCGCAGCCTCTGCAGCCAGGTTCGATTCCCCGGCTGGCCGGGGAGAAACCCACATGGAGCGGCAGACCTCTCCTGACTTGCCCGCTGCTCCCCTCAGCAGTGGATTTCAGTCAGTCTGCCTGTTCTGCTCCCCGCTCTGTCTCTGGTGAATGCTCTCACCCTCCCACGCCTCTGGCCTATACCCCAGCTCTTGTATAAAAATGAATAAATCTTCAAAAACATTTTTTTAAAAAATACAAACCGATGTTACCATTCTCCCTGGGTCACTGGCTTGAAGGATGTTAAAGTCCCCCAAAACAACTTGGTGAAGATGCCCTGCTCCCCGCTACAGCCTCATTTCAACACACTCCCCCCCTTTCCCAACCACTCCCTGCCTCCAGCCACAACAGACTTTTTCTTCTGGAAGCCCCACAAGACACTGTATCTGTCCTGCTGCCCGGGGCTTCCCCCATCGCTACACGGGGCCCCTTGTTTGCAGTGGTGGCCGGTTCATAATCAGCCTGCCCTACTCTTCAGCCACAATGCTTTGGACACTGGGTGCCTCAACCCCCAGTCAGCACCCCCAGTCCTTCTGCTTAGCCACGTCCCTGGCCACCCCAAGACTGAGGTTCCAGCCTGCTTAACAGGGAGCCAGCAAAGAGGCAGCTTCTCCACCCGCCCAGGTGAGATCACAAGAATCTGAAGAAAAGCAGAAGAGAACTGTGAGCAGCCCAGGACCCCAACCCAGGGCTGTGGCTTCAGGAGGCCTGACTCGAGACTGACCCCAAGCCTCCCAGCCAGTGAGTTGAGCCCAGGTTCAAATGAGCAGGAAGATAAAGCAAAGTCTGAACCCCGTTCATAAACCTGGAAGCACAATATTACCCAGTCGACTGCCGGCAGCAACGGGCTGATTTCAGGCTGGGCAGACACAGGCTGGGGCCTGGGCAAGTCCCTTAAGTCTGGGCTCACCCCCCGCTGCACAGGCCAGCCCGCTCTGGCCCGTGCTCAGGGCCCTTCCGTAGACCAAGGGAGCAGGGCAGGGGAAGCGTGGGCTTTGCTTTCCGCAGCCCTGGCTTGGGGTCCTGGCTCTGCTGCTTACTGGCTGTGTGACTCGGGCAGGCTGGCCCGCCTGGAGGGGCTTTTCTCCTCTACCGTACACGTGGAAGCAGAATAACCCCCAGTTCAGATTGTGGACTTTGAAATCTCACTGTCTGGACCTCAACTCCTCTCCTGTGTGTACTGTCCAGTGGGCCTCTGGGCTTCAGTCTCATATGAAAAAACTGGGCTAATACCCACGGGATACATATGCCCACGGGAAGCTCGTGGGGTCGGTGCCAAAGTTTCGCACCATCTTCCAGTCCTCTGGGGTGCTGCGTGTGGCACACTGGGGGACTTTCCTGTTGTGCCGGCACCGCCCCGCAACTCAAGCAGGGTCCACTGTTTCCCTCCCCACTCTCGGGACGTGTAGTCTTCCACTCAGCAAGGCCACGTGCGTGGCCATGGAGCACCAGCTCCTCGTGGGCAGACCAGCAGTGGCCCAGGGGCTGCAGAGAAATCCTTTCCTGAATATTTATTCATAAAAAAGTTCTCATAGAACAAAACAACCAAAGCAGTTGCGTGAGTCCGACAGTGGGACTCCCCAACCATACCCCAGCTTGCCAGCCTCCTCGCCAGGACAGTGGCGGGGTGGGGGGGGAGGGGGGAGGGGAGACAGGAAGCCCCCAGGGACAGAGCCCCAGAGGAGGAATACAGAACCCGAAACTGTGGGAGACAGAGGGTGGAGCCCCACTAAGCCCAACCCGTTTGCTCTCCAGTCTGCACCAAGTCTGGCTCCCTCACACTCCCCAGGGAGCTCACCTGGGGAAGCTTCCAGAAACCAGGCTGCTGCTCAGGGCCAGGCCCCTGGAGAAAAGGGCCGGGTGGGGAGACCCAAACCCAGGGAGGGGTGCTCCGTGGGCCGCAGCTGCAGCCCACTGTGATCTTGGATTTGAGTGAGCACAGACTGTTCAGAGGGTGCGCCCAGGCAGGGAGGAAGCAGCAGGGAGGCTTGGCCGGCTGGCACCCGCAGCTGACGCCGCTCATAAGGCTGGAAGGAATTCTCAACAGTGCTGGAGGCCGAGGCAGGGCACCTCCCACCAAGCTCAGTCATCCTGGAGAAAGGCAGGAGGGAAACGGAGCAATGAGTCACCAGACACCCGGCTGGACGCCGGTCTAGAGCCTGGCCCTGGCCGTGGCCTGCCCTGATGAGAGCCGGCCCAGAGCTGCCTGGCTCTGCGTGGGGTTTCAGTCCGAGACTCACTTTATCAGGACCAAGGGGGTCCAGACCCTCCACCCTGCCTGCCCCACTCTCTCTGGACATGACATCGCCTTCGTCACCTAGAAAAAAGCCCATTTTCCTGTGGCTCTGCTTTAAATGTCCAATTGGGGCCTTTTGAGAATTCACACCTTCAGCTGCACACCTCAGAAAAACAGATCAACTGTGCAAACAGGCTGAGGCTCAAAGAGGAGGCTGACCCTTTGCAAAAAAATAAAACTCCAACAACTGTCAAGAAACAAGTCAGGGCCTCCCCGGGGGCGCGGCGGCTGAGCACTGGGCTGCGAAGCTGCCCGCAGCCTCTGCGGCGCCAGTTCGATCCCCGGCTGCTCCCCGGCCACCGGAGGAGGGTCCCCATGGCGCTCAGACCTCTCCTGCCGCCCGCTGCTCCCCTCAGCAGTGTCCTTCGGTCCTTCTGCCTGCTCTGCTCCCCGCTCTGGCTCTGGCGGGTCCTCGCGCCCTCCCGCGCTTCTGACTCTACCCAGTGCTTGTGTAAATAAATAAATAAATCTTAAAAAAAAAAAAAAAAGAAAAGAAACAAGTCAGCCACCTGGGCGGGAGCCCGAACTGGAGGCACACGGGCGCCTGGTGGGCTGCTCCAGGCCTCCCGGTGGGCCAGCGCTCCCTCATGGACGCCGGTGACATCAGCTCCCCTCTGCACCCCCTCCCATCAGCTTTTCTGTAAATCTTTAGGGCTGTCGTGTAGATTGGCACAATCCGGACCCCCCAGAAAATGTCCCAAGTCATCCCCGCAGACCCTGAGGCTAACACGCTCAGGAACGCCACCGCGGCTGGGGGGTCAGAGTGTCTGCTGTCTCCTCCTCCTACACCCCAAAATCGGTACGAACACACTCCCGCCAAGAGACAAACCCACTCACGCCAGGGCCCGCCTCCCCTACCTACCCACTCCTCGTCCTCCGCCCCGTCCCCCTGCTCGCGGGCCTCCGCCACGGCCCCCTCCGCAGACTTCTGGGCCATGATGTTGTCTGTCCAGGACGCCCCTGTCTTTGCGTCACCAGCAAAGTTACACTTGGTCACAGCGCCAGCCTCGAGTTTGGCTAGTGAATCTGGAAGAAGGGGAGAAGGTGAAGGCCTCCCTCCCTGGGGGAAAGGCAGGGGCTGCCCTGGCCTGGGAGAAGCCACCACTCTCTTCAGGTCTGGTGTGGTCAGGGACACCCTGGGTGGGAACCCCAAGCTTGGGCAGCACCCCAGGATCCAGAGTGTTCCGGCTCACCGCTCCAGGGCACTCGTCCGGGACTTAGGCGTACCCCAAGGGGTGAGTCTCCAGGGAAACGGATCGGCCTGCTGCCAGCCCCACAGGCCATGAGGGGACCCTCAGGCCACAGCTGCTCACCCAGGAAGGGGCCGTCGCCTCGAGTTTTCAGCCGAAGCCCGGCCCCCGGCTCCAGCTCCATGGCCTCCATCTCCGACTCCAGCACCCAGAAGGCCACGGTCTGCTCGGGGGTGAGGTGCTCCGTCAGCGCCAGCAGCTCGGGCTTGTTCATCAGCTCCTTCAGTGCCTCGGCTGTGAGCCTGTCCGTGTCCCCCTTGGCTTCCAGCTCTGCAGGGGCAAAGCACACGGGGTCACGGCACCGGCCAGTGTGGGGAGCAGCTGGGCGGGGGGCTTCTTTAGGGGCTCACAGCCTCCTCCAGGTAGGATGGACACTGTCCTGAGAACTCACTGAGGAGCTCAAGGCAGAGGGATCCGGGTGGGCTCTGGAGCCAGGCTGTCTGGTGCTAATCGGTGTGGCCTTGGACAAGCTACGTAACCTCTCCGCCCGACAGACAGAGAGCGATAGTTACCAACACACATCTGCAAGTGTGTTTTACTTCCATTTTGTGGAGGAGAAAACCAAGACTCAGAGGTTAAGTAACGTGTCTAAGGTCACGCAGTCTGCGAAGGAGACAGAACTGACACCCTCCATCCAGGCCTCCCACTGAGACCAGGGACCAGGCAGGGCTCTCTCCGGGATGGGGCCTGCCGGAACCAGGAGCAAACAGGGGTGGTCTCCACATCTCTGCCGGCCTGCTCTTCCCGGCCAAGGCAGGGCTCCCAGGCTCGGCAAGGATCCCGACAGCCTCAGCTACAGACCCTGCAGATGCCAGGTGGGTGGGGAGCGCCCCAGGGCCTGAAGACCTGGTGAAGGGGTTCGGAGCTGCTCCATTCCAGCACACAGAGGGCTGTGTGCACACGGACAAATCCCAGCAACCCACCGAGACTCGGACCCCCGTGCTGGTGTAAAGCCCCCGCCCGCCTGGTCCAGGACACCTGGCCGGCAAAGGAGACTCCACTCCCTCTGCCCTCGCCCGGCCAGGTCCCCGAGACAAACTCCTCACCTCCCACCCCACAGCTAACAGAAGCCACAGGAGGGGCCTTGAGCTCCCGGCCACTTTCCTACAGCCACACAAAGCCTCCCTCCTTCCCTTGTCCTGAAGTAGCTGGGGTCTCTTTCCTGCATCAAGCCAGTTCCTCTGTCTGGGCCCCAGGTCCCAACCCCCCGTCCCCCCCCCACCTCCTCAGGGCTAACCCTAACCCAGATCTTTCCTCCATGTCGCATTCTGGCTTGGACACCGCCCTCCAGAGCCCCAGCCCCAGAGTCCCGGGTGCTCTCTGTTGTGAAGCCCGCTGGCCGCGCCACCATCCGCATCTCACTGGGCCTGGCGGCACCCAACCCCTTGCTACCTCCTTCCTCCTGGCCCCGGCTTCCCCGGGCCTCAGAGGCACACACCTCCCCAGGTCCTCCTACCCCACTGGGCCCCCGCCCCTCTGCCTCCTATTGCTGAAGGAGCAGAGTTGGGGAGGACAGCCAGGCCTCGGACTTGGGGGTGAGGGGGAGAAGGCATGGGGAGACTGAGGAATGGGGGGGCAGGAAGGATCTCGGCCGGGGAAAGAGTTCCTTAGGCCAGACCAGCACTTCAAGGCCAGGCGCGCCGCCTGCAGGAGGCCCCGCGGGAGCGGGCGCGGACACCTACTGTAAGAGGACATGAGGAAGCCGGTGTTCACCTTCCGGGTGTCGCTGAAGTTGGGCTCAATCTCATTTCCCTTGGGGTCGAACTTGCGGCGATGGATGCGGCTGGGCCGGATGTACAGCACATAGTAGCGCTCCTGGGCAGGCAGAAAGCGGGGCTGCGTCACCCCACACACAAGCCCGCCGCCCCAACAAGCCAGGGAATCCCGGTGTCCAGGCAGACGGCACAGGGCGGACCCAAGGCCTCCGCACAGCCAGAGACGGGCCGTGGACAGAAAACCCAGGCATGGGACTGCAGTGGGGCGAAGCGGAGCGCAGGCCGTCGGGGCCGTGGAGCGGGGTGAAGGGGGTTCTGCGCAAGGGCTGCCACTCTGCCTCGCCCACCAGGTGTGGGGCCAGGCTCATCACGCCGGGCCAGCTCCCCCGTCACATGGAGCCGGGGATGTCCACTTCCAGCAATGCTGCAAGGGTCTGCGGAGGTGAGCGGGCGCCCGCACAGGGCGGAGCTGGGGTGCGCGTTAGCACTACCCACCGCGGATCTGACAGAGGTGGCAGAGGACATGCCCCAGAGATGGAAGAGACACCTCCTGGGAGAACAGGGAAGGCCCAACCTGAGGGGCAGAGCAACCTGCCGTGGTGCGGGAAGCCTAGGGCAGGCCTGGGACAGGTACCAGAAATGAGTCAAGTCCAGTGTACACGTCCGCAGACCGTGGGGCCCTGGGAGGCCTCGGAAGTCCAGGCTGGGGCTGCAAGTGGGATTGGCTCGAGGCCCTGAGGTTGGCACCTGGACTGTGGGATTTATCTGACAGACGGAATCCTCAAGGATCTCTTGAGATGCCGTTTAGGAAGCGAGTTGGCAGCCGGGTAGGAACGTGCAATGGGGCAGCCAGAGGCAGGAGGGGCGGCACAGGGTTTCATCAGGACAGGCTGAACTCCTGGGCCCCTCTGAGGTAAGGGAGGTGACAGAAAGCCGGGAAAGGAGAGGAGGTACGGCCACGGAGGGCAACCGGGGCAGGGGGAGGGAAGGAAGGGACAGTGGAGGCCACAGGCCTGCAGCTGCCGGGCCAGCACACCCTCTCCAAGGAGGGGGACCTCAGGAGGCACACTTGGAGAGGGCCTGAGGGACACTTCGTGGTCAAGGGCCATCCAGGGCCGGTCTGTCAAGGGCTGTCCAGCACAGAGCCACAGCCATCAGACTTCCAGGGGCCTCCAACAGTGGTGCCGTGGGTTCCAGACCGGAAGTTGGAACAGCGCTGGGCTTTAAGGCTTTTTAAGGTAAGTGTCACTGCAGACTCCAAATACCACCCCTCGGTTACCAACTGTGTGGAGCCGACGTGAGCATCTGTTTCCTAAGGACGGCAGCACCAGCCAGGGGCCGAACTGCCAGGCTGAGCACCAGGAGAAGGCAGAGGCTGCCAACACCCCTCCGAATATCCTGGCCCCAACCCATGGCTCCTGAGCACGTCCAGCGGCACCCACCCAAGTCATGGATGGGCTCAACTTGCCTCCCACAGTGGAGGCCCCAGACCCCAATGGAAGTAGCCCCTACTCGGCCACTGTGGTGGACAGGGGGCACTGCAGGCATACAAAGCCGGGAACTTTGGGGGCGGGACACCCCTGGACCACTGAGAGCAGCGAGAAGGCTCCTGGTAGGAGGTGCTCTGAGAAGTTTTCCAGCTCCGGGGCCCAAGTGACCCCCAAGACCCGACCCAGGAGTCCCAAACAATAATGATTAAAAAAGCAAGACCTTGCCAGCCCGTGGACCCCGCCCACCACACCATGGTGGGTCTCCAAGGGTCCCAGTGGCCAGGGCTTCCCTGAACTGCTGACCAACCCAGAGGTTTCCCAGTGGATGGGGCGGGCATATATGATGCCAGGTCTCGGGCCTGGTCAGCTACCCAGTGTGTGCCCAGGATCTGTGCCCTAACACCCCCTCCCCCACGCTCTCCACATTTGTTAACACTAACAATAATAATTGGAGCTTCAGTATAAGATTCAGACTCTCAGCTTCCCGTGGGCCAGGCCCTGGCCCCACTCTGAGGCCCCACAACTGGGGCTGAGTCCACTTCCTGTGTCATGACCACAGGAAATACATTTTCTTGACTTCACCGAAAGAAAAAAATATGGATCCTATGGAAAGGAAAAAATCCAGGTATAAGTGCCCCAGGAGTCAAATGTAATTGAATTCCAGAGGATTCCGAGGGTACAGAGTTGGTACCCAGAAAGGGGGGAGGTCACTGTGACCCCGTACCCACATAGACCACAACCCGCTCCGAGCTCGGCCTCAGGCCCCACACGGCCCGAACCACCATGCCAGAGAAGAGGAGGCTGAGCCGGCTGCCTCCCGGAGGAAACAGTCGCCGGACTGCCCTGGTTTCCTGACTCTGAACCTGATCCTGGTATCAGGGGTGACAGGACCCCTCAGAGGGCCTTCCAGCTCTCCCTGCACCCCCCAGGCTCAGTCCTGAACCCGCACCTCTCCTGCGCCTGCTCTCAACCCTCCAGCCCCAGCAGGCTCGGCCCCTGACTGCCAGCACAGCCCCCACCTGCCCCTTTCCACTGGGTGGCTGGCAACCTGCCCGCCCCCCCAACCGCTCTGTGAGCCCCTCAAGGGAAAAGCTGGACCCCAAGTCTTGCCCTGGTGGATCCCTGCACAGAGAGGCCTTGTTGGCTGAAGACCATGAAGCCGGTGCCCGGCAGGAGCTGCTAAGGAAGCCCCTCAAGAAGCCCCTCACCTTCCTGCCGTGGACATCCACGATGCTGTGGCGAGACAGGTCCACCAGCTCCCCCTCCAGCAGGACACCCGGGCCCCTGCGGAGGAGGTGAATGCAGGGTCAGCGGGTTCTGCCACAGAAAGAGCCACCACCCACGGCCACGGCCCAGGTCGGAGTCTGCAGGTGGCCCAGGTGGGCCACAGGTGTCTCCCCGGCAACCGGTGATCCACACCGGCTGTTCCTTGGAGGCGTCAAGGCCAGTTCGCTGCGGGGGACCCGGCGCTGGTCTCCTGCGGGACCTCGGGGTGTTAGGGGGAAAAGGCAGTCCCAAAGCAAATTCCATACAGGCTTTGTGGACTCCACCCCCACCCCAGGTCAAAGCCAAAGACACTGGGAACTCCACATCCCATCATCACCCAAGGGAAGGTGGCTGGGACCTGAGGGTGGGGTTCAGCAGCCAGGTGGATACAAAAGGCAGACAAGTGGGCTTTGGGGCGCTCTCCATTTTGGGGCCCTCGGCCAGCTCGCGGCGTCCGTCTAGCTCTGAGAGTGACTTTGGGGTTTCCAGGTCGTCGGATCGGGTAGGACGCATGAAAGACTTTATTTCCCTATTTTCTCCCTGAGTTGTCCATTTTCCTTATTTCTTTTTCTCTTGTAAATAAACCTTTTATGAACCCTTTTGCGTGTGTCTGCAGTGGAGTATTCATAAGTCCCTTTAAAGCGCGCGGGTGAGGACCCACAGCCAGGAACCCGTTTAATATCGGGGTTGCTCTATAACAGGGGTGCGTGTCATCAGAGCCTGCTTCAGAGCTACAGAGGGAGGGGACCAGCCCCCGCCCCGTGAGGTGGCTCAGGTGTGTGAAGGGATCTCCGCCAGCTGCTGAGCAAACTGGAAGGACTCGACCGTTCTGTTCCCTGAAACAGGCGCGGCTGCCAGGTGGTCTCCCTCTCACCTGCGCTAAAGCACCTGCTGCGCTTTCACAGCGGCCGCCCGACGGTCACCCCCTTAGAAGGGAGAAACCCAAACTCAAGGCTGTGACCCCGGGGGGCTGGGCCCTGCTGGGGATCCCCATCTCATGAACCTGGGGGCTTCCAGTTCTGGAACCTCAGGGATGGGCGGCAGCCCCCACCCTGCGCCCATCCCTGAGAGTCACTCCAGCCCCCCCCGCCCCCCCCAGCGCGAGGAGCCCGCTGGGGTGCGGGTGGGGTGGGGACAAAGGTCGGCGCCGCCTTTGGGGCCTGTTTGGGGGGGAGCCCGGCCTCTCTCCCGGGCGCGGGGCCAGGCGAGGGGTTCCAGGCCGCCCCGGGTGGTGGCGGGGAGCCGGGGTGCCGCGGGGTGCCGCGGGAGGGGGGGAGCGGGGGGGCGGGGGGACCTACCCCTGGTGCGCGGCGGGGTCCCAGCGCCCCGGCAGCCGCGCGCTGCGCACCGCCCGGGCCCCGAGGGCGCCGTCCTGGTAGATGCGGCTCATGCCGGCCGGGCGAGCGGCGGGAGGGCGCCCCGCGATCCCGAGGCCCGGGAGGCGCGGCCGGACGTTCCCGGGCGGGGCCTCGCGGCCTTCCGGGGAGGCGCGGCCGGGCCGGCCGTGTCCCCCCCGCGGCCGAGGAGAGGCGCCCCGGCCCGCGCCCGCCGGGGAGGCTGGAGCCGGGGCGCCCGCCCGGGGGCGGGGGGGGGGGGCTGGGGGGGGGGGGGAGGCTGGGCCGGGGCGGCCGGGGCTGGGGGGGGCGCCCGCCCGGGGGGGGGGCGGGGGGCTGGGGCCGGGGCGCCCGCCGGGGAGGCTGGGGCCGGGGCGCACGCCCGGGGGGGGGGGGGACGGGGGGGGGGCTGGGGCCGGGCGGCAGCGCGGGGAGCGCGGCGGGGCCCCGGCGGGGCGCGCGGAGGTTGGGGGGCCGCGACCCGGGAGCCGGGGCCTGAGGGCGGCGCCCCGCTGCAGCCCCCGCTGCCACAGCCCGCCCGCACCCCGCACCCGCCCGCACCCCGCCGTGCACGCGGGCGCGAGCGCAGATGCGTTAAAAACACAAAGCACGAAAGCGGGCGGGGGGCGGGGGGCGTCGGCGCGACGCCGAGGGGCGCCACCGCCTCGGGGGACAGCGTGGCCGGCCGCGCCCCCCTCCCCCCGCAGCTCCGCCTTAGGGGGCGCCGGGCCGGCCAGCAGGGCGCTCCGGGGCGCCGGGGCTTCCCGCCCGCAGGGCCGTCGGGCGGCCGAGCCGCGCTCCGAGAGCCGCAGGGCTAGTCTGAGGCTGGGGGGGGGGGGCCTACAGGGGTAGAAGCCGCCCCTGCTCATCGGACACGTGAAATGGCCAGCGGCCGACTCGGTCCTCACGAGCCCCAGCCGAAATGGAAGCTCTTTCCAGAACGTTCTTGCTGCGGGTCTGCTAGACTTGAGCGGCCTGCTCAGCCACCAGGGCGGTCACCTGCCGTCTGCGTTCCTGCCGGAGGTCAGAACCGCCCAGCCACGGTCACAGGAGCCAAACCTTGCAAGGCGCCTTCACATCAATCCAGAGCAGAAGGCCGGGTCACGCTGGGGCGGGCGCGCATCGCGAGGTGTGACCGGGAGCGCCCGGGCCGAGCCGGAGGGTACACTTACTCCCCACTCAGACAGCACGAGGTGTGACCGGGAGCGCCCGGGCCGAGGACCGGTGCATGACAAGGGACCCCAGAAGCTCATCCGTGGACGCTGTGTTGACAAGATTAGGACCGTGGCCAGGGCTGGGGGCTGGTTTCGATGACAGCCCTTGGTCATCAAGCTGGTAACACGGTCAGCAGACTCGTGGCCCCCGAGCCCTCGATGGCGTTCCTGCGCGTCCCCCACCCTTTTCTCCTTGTCCTCCTGCCCCACGTAGCTGGTGCTCTGTGATTATTCTATCCGTAAACACGGCCAGGAGCTTGTCTCGGCAGCCTCCTGCCTGTGCAGCCCGCTCCACGATGCCCGTGTCTTCGTCAGTGTGGTGTTGCCCGACGCAACGCTTGCTGAGGCTGTGATGTCATTATAAATATAATGACATTATAAATATAATGACACCCCCCCCACCACCGCCTTTATGGGCTTTGGGCAACACAGAGATTATCAGGACTTGTGCCTGGCACAGACAAGTCACACGAAATCAACAAAATGGGCGCGTGTGGTGTCTTCGGTTCTCGGCACCAGGTCACATCTCAGCACGTCGAACACAGCTCGTCCTCCAAGTCTGGTGGCTCCAGAAGAAACGGCGTGCCAAATTGCCACCGGCGGCGAAGTAGCCTAAGACAACGCATATCCAGGCAGAGCAGAGGCCGCAAAACAAAGGCCGCGGTGGAGGAAGAAGGACCGTCAGTCAGGCCGCTGGCTGGGAAGGAGCCATCCATCACCCGACGCCGACACATGCAAATGAGGCTCCGGCTGGGAAAGAAAATCCATGATCCACCTCCTGATGCCACATCAGAGGCTGTTGGCCTCCAGAGCCCGTGACCTTTCCTGTCCTCGCCCGCTCGAGCTGACACGATGCCTGGGCTCCAGCTGACCCCCGGGAACCATCCCCACCCTCCCCGCCTGGCTCTGCTGGGCTTTGCTCCCAGGGCGGTCCTTAAGGGGACTCCCCGGGTGGAGGTAGATCCGGGAGCTGCTGTGGTTCTGCGGGCAATGGGGGTGACTCCCAGTGGGGTGGGTGGCAACACCTCGGCGTAAAGTGGCATCAGTCACTCTGCTGCGTGTGGGGCCGGTGCCGGCCGAGGGAAGACGGAGCTGGGAAACGGCCTGCCTGTGGCACTGATGGCGTGAGGACAAATGACAACGCTAAGGGACGTGGACGAGGCCGGCTCATACTAATCACATTGGAAACCTTGACAGAAGGAAAATGACAGTTGCCTGGCACCCTGAGCTGTGGGGGAGGGGCTGCTTGATGGCAGTTTTAAGGCTTCAGGGCCGAGTGTGAAAAGCTGGGCCGGGCAGCTGAGGATGACCCAGTGCCGGGGAGGCTGCGAGTGCAACGTTGCCAGATCTGGGACCCCAGGGCGGGGACACTGGGTGGATGAGCCTGAAAACCCTGAACCCCAAACTCCCCTGCATCCTCCTGGCAAGCAGCAGCCCCCCTCCCTGGAGACAGGTGAGGAACCTCCCTGGAAGCAGAAACCCCCACACCCCTCTATTCCCCACCTCCCCACTCCCATATATCATTTGCTTTTCTTACCATCTGCCCTCATCACCATTCCTTGCTTCCAGGCCACAAATTCAAATCTGGTCTCACCCCAACCTGGGCAGGAAGGCACACCCTAGGAATTGCAGCAGACCTGGGCAAAGTGCCTGAAGGAAACCACATGGCGGCAGACCTGGAGGTGAAATACGCGGGGGTATATGGGGCTGGATTGCAGAGGTCCCCGACAGGGCACTCCCCAAAGGTGAGGTCTGGGGCTCCAGCCAGGCTCTGCCAACAGTCTCGATGCCCGTGGAGCTAAAGCCCATACCTCACCCATGCCATATGCTGGGCACAGGATGCCAGACTGCTTCATGTGACCAGTTCAGTCCAACAGTCACTCAGTCAACAGATCCTCAAGGAGGACTTGCCTACGTCGGGACGTCCTGGGTACCAGAGAAAGAGAGTGTGCCCCAGGCTTCTGTCCTGGCGAAGTGGGGCCAGGCACAGACAGGACAACCCAGAAGTGAGAGCATCTCAGACAGCATTCCAGGCCCGACAGCACTGTGGGGAAGGGGCAGCTTTGGCACAGGGAGCCGGGAAGACCTCCCAGGTCAGAACCCTTTGAGTTGGGGACAGGCACCCAGGCAAAAGGCCCCAAGGGCAGGAAAGGCCTCGGCCCATCAAGGGCACTAAACAAGGCCTTCCGGGCACAGTGTGGTGACCGGAGGGGAACAGTCCTTCCCAGGGGTGTATCTCACCAAAGCCAGCTCTGGTCTGTGGGAGGGTCTGTGTGTACACCCACGCCTTTCTTCTGGCCGCTGCATGTCATGGGCACAATCTTTCCAGAAGGAGAACGAGAAACCTGGTCTGGGGACTGCCTAAGAGCCTGGGGCTCCAGGGCGGGGAGGGCTCTGATGCTTCCTCCTGCATCTTTTCATGTTGCTCAACATTTTCACCATGCACGTGAGTTACCTTCTCAATTAAAAACTAGTTAATTTTTTAAGATGGAAACATCTTAGTCTTCAGTCTCATTTGTAATCATAGAAATGCAAATAGAAACATCAGGGAAATAAGATTTTTTGGGAAGGATTTAAAAACTCATAAAGCTCATGGTTGGGAAGGATGTGAGAAAACAGGCTCGCAGAGCCTTTATGTACTTCGTCTGTGGGAAGGAGCCCCAGCAGTCCTTTCCCGAGGGTCAGCTGACATTGTTTGCCTCAAAGGCCTTAACCCTTGTCCTCCCCCCCTCTTGGCTTCTCCACATCCATGGATTTCTTCAAGGAAAAGATCTGGGAGAGGTGCAAAGATTACACAGCAAGACATTAAGCCAGCACCTTAATAATAGGGAAATTAAAGGAACGATTTAAATTCTAACAGGGGCCACTTATTTAAACAAACTAAGGTTTATCCATCCAATGCAACTGTACGACTATGTTTAAGATGCTGTTAAATGATATTTAATGACACACAAAAACGTTTTCAATTGACCAGGAATAGGTAAAAAATAAGTCACAAAATATCTGTACTCTAATCTGAGCCCAAATACTTTTGCAAATGGGTATGTAGACTGCAAAAGTAATAACAACACTTAATAAATCATGAGTGATTTATAATCTCTTCTTTGCTTACAGTACATTTTTTTAAAAATCTATTTTATTTTATTGATGCATACAAGAGCTGGGGTACAGGCCAGAGGTGTGGGGGGGGGGGTGAGAGGACTCACCAGAGACAGAGTGGGGGGCAGAACATGCAGACTGACTGAAACACACTGCTGAGGGGAGCAGTGGGGAGACAAGGAGAGGTCTGCCGTGCCATGTGGGTCACTCCCTGGCTGGGGATGAAACTCAGGCCATGGTGGCTGCTAATAGCTTCCTAGTGCTGGAATTTAACCCCTTGCGCCACCTGGAAGGCCCACCATCACAGTATTTTCCGTAGTAGCTGCATCAATTTACATCCCCACCAACAGCACACGAGGCTTTCGACTTCTCCACCCTCACCAGCGCGTGTTCTTTCTGGTTGTTGTTGATAGCATGTGAGGTCAACATCGCCATGACTTTGTGATTACTGACATGAGCACCTTTCATGTACTTGTTCACCAATTGCCTACCTTTTCTGGAGAAATGTCTTAAGTCCTTTGCCCATTTTTTAATCGTGTGGATTGGTGGTGTCGAGTTGCAGGAGTTCTTTATGTATTCTGGATATGAGTCCCCTAACAGAGACATTGTTTGCAGAAATGTTCTCCCACCTGTGTGTCATCTCTTCACTACCTGACTGTGTCTTTCATCACAGAAGGTTTTCATTTCCTCATCGTCCAGTTTATTTCTCTCTCTTGTTGCCTTTGCTTTGGGGTTTATATTCT